TATAGTAACCTTTGATAAGTGCACATTTGTAAACCTTGTAGATGATAAATAAGTGGAACATTTAATTAACTTTAATGAAGAAAGTGGTCGTGTATATATAGAAAATGGAGATGAAAATCACAACCAATAAGAGATGGTCTAACAGAAGAATAACATGTGTAAGTGGAATTTACTTATTTTGATTTCAAAGTAATATTGTCTGTTGTCAATTGTTCTGCTTAAGTTGTCATTTCAATGGTTGAAAGTTGTCATTAACAATCCTATGACTTGTCTTGTTATGCAAGATGGAAGACTTATTCAAAGGTTCAAATACATTGTTTATGTCTTTGCCCAATGTGTTGAGTGAAAACCTATCATCATTACCATGTGGTTCACAAATAATACCAACACTAATTCTAAAATGAATTCAACAAAATAGAAGGATTTGGTTATTGGAGAAAGACAAATTTTCCTAATGTAGTGGCCTTTCAGCAAACACTATATAAGTACAGTATTGCTTTGAAGTTTTCATACATATGATTTCAACATTAAAGTTGTTATATTATACTATTTAGTTATAATTTGATTTTATATAGAGGTTATATTATCCTATAAAGTCAGTTGTCAATTAACATTGCCTAGGTTATTAACAGCTCCTTTTGGATTGTTAATACTCACTGTTGAGGTTGTCAATAAATCTTTGTAATGAAATTCTATTATAATCCTTTTGGATTTAGTTGAAGTTGTTAATGCCTTGAAACCGTTTCTCATTTTTGTGTAAAAGTTATTATATTATACTATTTGGTTATAATTTAATGTTAAGTGAATGTTATATTATCTCATAAAAGTCAGTTGTTAGTAGACACTATCTAGATTGTCAATAGCACCCCGTTAAGTTGTTAATACTCGTCATTGAGATTGTTAATGAATCTCTGTGATAAAATTCTGCTATAATTTTATTGAGTTTAGTTAAAGTTGTTAATGCCTTGAAACAACTTCCTATTTTAGCATTAAAGTTGTTATATTGCACTATTTGGTTATAATATGCTTTTATATGGAGGTTATCTTATCCTATAAAGTCAATTATTAGCGGACATTGTTTAGGTTGTCAACAGCTTTTCATTGGGTTGTTAATATTGGTCTCGAGGTTGTCAATCACATTGGCAAAGAAAACTGTGAATTGTGAATCTTAGATTAGGAGGGATAGTAATGTGATTTTATAATTACAATAAAACACTCTAAGGTCTTTTGGGACCTACTATTAATTTTGATTTTTTTTGAAATCTTAGATGAATAAATTCTACTCTTTGGAATCTGCGTGTAATTTTCCCAACTAAAAACTCCATTTCTCGAGCAGAATACAATTGTGAGATTCCTTTCTTACTCTAGGACATATGCATGCAACCTTCTGTACAAAAGTCACATATTAAGTAATGATCAATTAGTCACCTCATATAGATACAAGTTTATTAATTCCAGACGGTCCCCGAAATTAGTTACTTCGGCCATGCATGAATAATACTACTTCAGTCGTACATATGAAACTTATTTTATAGTATAAGTTACATATAAAATTTAGAACCGGAGTAGTATATATATCCAAATACCAATAATTTTGTCCTTTCGATTATTATTATTATTATTATCCGTGACTTCATTTTGCCCGATCCGCACGGTGATACCAATTGTATACGTCCTCTTCAGTTACCATTTTATTTTACATCCATTCGTTGACCAGTCACCAGCCACCACATCTACTTTGTATAATCGGTTCATAAAATTATTGATATTTCCTTTTCACTGATTTGTACTTTAAATACCAAATTTCTCGTACATAAGTGGATATGTATTGTGTGTGTGTGTGTATCAGTGTATGATGCGGGAAAGATTTGTACTGAAACAGAAGTGATAAGCAGAGAAATCATCAAAACTTATAATAATCAATCAATCAATCAACTATATTTTAATACCCGATTCACTTAAAAACTAGTTAAATATAATATTATGAGATCCGAATATATTCAATTAATGAGATTTGATTGGGATTTTGATATACTAAATTAAATGAGAGTATCATTATTAAATGGGATTTCAATTAGAGGCTCAAATGGAAAAAATTAATAATTAATTTTAAATTTGAATAATATCTTAATTGGGATTTGAATCTATTAAGTTAAATAGAAAGCATCATGATTAAATAATATATCAATTGGAAGTTTAAATAAAGAAATAATAAATAATCTTAAATTTTCATATGTTCTCTTAAATTTTGCGTCTTTAATTCAAATCCTATTTGAATGAATAAAAAAATCATATTTCTATAGGAAATAAATCTTGAGCTACCTTAAATAATGTAGTTTATTAGAATTTAAAATCTAATCAAATATTTTAATCCATGTATCATATGAGGGAGAAATTTCTAGTTTATAAATGTAAAAGGCAGAAGATTTTCCAAGCCTGAGCAGCCGTTGGGTAGAACATTTTGTAAACATTGACCAGAAAACAAGAAGTGGGATCCCAAACACACAAGTGGCCATACAAAGTGGGTCTAGTGGACTTTAAGGCCCGAAGTGCAACAAACCATCCATAGAGGCTTACCCATCAAAAGCATCCACAAATATTTTCAGGCGTCAAAACGTCCGCAAATATAAAACCAAATGCTTTCAAAGTAACTAGTTTTAAATCTAAAATTTGCAATAATTAATCGACTAATTTTCCTACGTAATTTTTTAAAAATTTTCCCGACACGATTTGTCATGTTGCTAATTCAAATATTACTATATTATCTATGTTGTGAAATTCTCCGAAGCATACTATTTGGGGGGGGGGGATAAGAAAAAAATTCTATGAAGCATGAAAACATGTTAATATCGATTGAAAAATACTTCTCTAACCCTCTTATAACCTTTTATTAGAATTAAAAAAAAAATCTTAAACTGTGCCAATAGATATTAGTCTTAGTGAAAAGGATCTTGGCAGCATTTTCGATGAATCTCCTTCATATTCGGTCTTGGTAGTATCCTATTAAGATCTAACTCGTCTAAATTTTTAATTTATTATTTGAATTAATATACTTTTACAAGAAACAATCTTTGTGATAGACAATACTTGCATATCAAGTTGTTCAATACACATAGTCATATGTCTTATTTTTGAAATATTATCATTTAATTATAAAGTCAAATGAAAAAATATGACAAATTGTCATATGTGATTTGAGAACTAACAAGATAAATATAAAGAACTTAATCTGAATATTTTGCCTTTTGTGACCAAATTGAGTCCTTTCCAAACTTACGCTCTAATTACAGATAATATGTAATGATTTCTTCAGATTTTGGCGCATTTTGGCTATAAATTGTGAAGTTGTTGATTATATTTATGATTCTTAATATAAGAAATATTTAATTAATTTAGATATATTAAAGAAACCAAATAAATTGTTTAATCCTAGCAAATGTGATATAATTTTCCTTATGTAACATTATATTACATATCAATTTATAGATTAGATAAATTAATTAAAAAAATGATAAATATAAACGACAAAATACATCAAGATCTTTACCTTTAGAACTAAAATCCAACTTCCTAACTAATTCATATAATTAGGATTGAAGGAGTATTTTAGATCGTGTCATGAAAACCAGAAAGAGACGATTAGAAAATCGTGATTTTCATATCTATATATATAGAGAATAGAATTCTATTCTTTTCTATTTTTTCCCCCCAACTTCACCAATATAAAACACCTCAGAAAATAAAAACTAAAAACTTCGTTTCTTGATCAGAATAAAATTGTGAGGTTCCTCTCTTACCCTCTATTTGGATGGGAAGAAAAATTGAGAGGAAAGAAAATGAGAGGAGATAAAATGGAGAAAAGAGAAAATTGGAGAGAAAATATTATCACCTCTCATGTTTAGATGGACAAGAGAAAACAGAAAGGAAAGAAAATAAGTAAATATATAAATGACTAAAATATCTTTTCTATTATATCAAAATATATCTTGATTAAAATCAAATTAAATATCATAATAAAAAAACCATATTTACATTAACATAATCATAGAGTTTAAAATCAAATTATTTGATAAAGATATATTATCATGCTATTATATCTTAATATCAAATAATTTTGTAAAAAAAGAAAAAAAATAACATTTTGTGTAATGTAATGCTAAAAAAAACTAAAACAATGACTCTACTTGTTTTTCCTTTCAGTTCATTTTAGAAGGATTTTTACAATTTTAGTTATTTTATTTTTCAATGAAGCAAAAACATAAGAAAGACTTGATAATAATAAATAAAGTGAAAAAATGAAAAAAAAAAAAAGGTATTATTTTGCTGAAAAAACATATGTAAGGGTAGAGAAGAAAAATATGTTTTCTTCTCATTTTTTCTCCATATATGGAGAGAAAAGTTGGGAGGAAAATAAGATGTGGGACCAACCTTATTTTCTTTCCAACTTTTTTTTCCTCCCACTTTTCTTCCCTCATCTAAATAGGGAAAAAAACCACTTTTCTCCCCATTTTTCTTCCTAGTTTTCCTTTCTCCCTTATTTTCTCTTCATTCAAACATAGCATTACTCTAAGACATATGCATGCAAACTCCTTTACAAAAATCACATTAAGTAATGATCAATTAGTCACCTCATATAGATACAAGTTTATTAATTCCAGATGGTCCCCGAAATTAGTTACTTCAGCCATGCATAAATAATATATCCAAATACCAATAATTGTGTCCTTTCAATTATTATTATTATTTTCTTAACTTCATTTGCCTGCTCCGTACAGTGGTACCAATTATATCCGTCCTCTTCAATTACTATTTTATATCCATTCGTTGAGCAGTCACCAGCCACCACATCTACTTTATATAATCGGTTCATGAAATTATTGATATTTCCTTTTCACTGATTCGTATTTTAAATACCAAATTTCTCATATATAAGCAGTCACCATATGGATATGCATGATGTGTGTGTATCAGCGCATGATTCAGAAAAGATTTGTACTGAAATGGAAGTGATAAGTACAGAAATCATCAAACCCTCTTCTCCTACCCCTTCTGATCTGCAAATTTATCCACTTTCCTTCATAGATCATCTTTGCCCTTCCAACTATATCCCATTTGTTTTCTTTTACGAAAACCAGAGCTTTGAACCTGACATCAATGGCAAAACCTCTACCACCATATTCGAAGTTTGTGAAGAAAGAACCAAAATGCTGAAGAAATCGTTATCTGAAGTTCTATCTATGTACTACCCATTTGCTGGTAGAGTCAAAGATCAAGTTTTTATAGAATGTAATGATGAGGGAGTTGTGTTTATAGTCACCCACATGAAACAGAAGCTTTCGGAGATCTTGAAAGACCCAAGGGAAGAATTTCTGAACCCTCTATTCCCAGATGAAATGCACTGGAAGAAACCGGCCGGTCCTCGTGGAAGCTTCGTAGCGGTTCAAGTAAACCATTTTGAGTGTGGAGGAATGGCGATGAGTGTGTGTTTGTCTCACAAGGTTGGCGAAGCATCTTCCTTATGCCACTTTGTCAGAGACTGGGCTTCCATAACCACAAAATCTCATGTAAGTTCCCCTCATTTCAATGGAGCATCAGTATTTCCCATGGGCGACTTGACAATTTTCCCGGAAAATGATGGGAAAAGCAAAGCGAATATGGTATCCAAAAGGTTTGTATTTGACGCCACGAGCACCAAGTCCCTTATGGCCAAGGTAATAACCCAAGGAGTAGTGGAAAATCCTACAAGAGAACAAGTGGTGGGAGCACTCATTTACAAATGTGTGGTTTCAGCTTTGAGGTCAAAAAGTTCAAAGGCTCCAAACCAATTAGCCACATCTCTCAGCGTTGCTTTGGACCTACGTGCTGGATTGGTTCCTCCACAGCCAGACAAGTCAGTAGGAAACTTGGTTTGGGGTTTTGCTGTACGGAGTCCGAATTCTGCAGAAGAGGAAGAAGAAGAATTACATGAAGTGGTAAGGAAAACTCAAAAGGGGTTGTCTGAATTTTGGGATACGTATGCCAAAGGGTTTGGGAAAGAACACATGATGAAGATCTTGGAGCTTTTGAAAGCGACAGGATCATCTGACAATTCTGTTGTGTTTAATGTAACAAGTTGGTGTGGAATTGGAATGTACGAGGCAGATTTTGGGTGGGGAAATCCAGTGTGGGTGACTACCTGTGGATGTCCTCCAAAGAAAGATGTGGCACTATTGATGGATGCAAGAGATGGAGAAGGAATTGAAGTGCTCGTGGCAATGGAAGAACAAGACATGGCCCTGCTTGAAGCTGATGTGGAACTTCTCCAATATGCTTCCATTAATCCCAGTGTTGTAGCTTCCCACTAAGGTGGGAAAGTTATTCCTATCTTTTATAATGAAAGTGATGTACGTTTTTTTCTCAATAAACAAAGATGGTGGGATGTATGTGTCGAATTCAGAAAGAACTTAAGGAATAAAAATTAAAGAATGTTTGAAGTGAAAATGGGCGAGCTCCAGAAAGTTTCATCTATTACTTGGAAGACCGTAAAACCATCAGCCACTTTGGGAGATAGCTTTGTGCACTTTCAGGAAAACTCTGTTTGGCCCCTGCATCTTTTACGATCTATTTTCTATTTGACATTAGGGGTATTCAACTTGTTCTGTCCTAACCATTCCGTTCTAGTCCCAGTTAATTCGGGGGGGGGACCAAAAAAAATTCAGGCCGAAACAAAAAAGTGACTGGAACGGGACAAGACGCGGGACAGGTTGTGTTAACCTGTCTCATCCCTAATATTTTCTTTTTTTAAAAGAAATACTTATTATTAGATTATTTAATTCACTTATTAATAATAATTAATTTTTTATAGTGATTTTAGCCCTTAAATTGCAGTGTTATTTGAACAAAATCTTCTTCCTCAATAAAATAATTCATAATGCCATCATGTAGTGTTTCTTTTACAGTATTTTTTTATACTATTGACTTTATACCTTTTTACATTATATAATTGAGCTTTCTACATAATTTTTTTATTATTGTTTTAATTTTTAGAAGCCAAAAACAAACATTACAACATAAAAAAAATCCAAACCCAAAATTACAATAATTTGTTAAAAAAAATTGAAATGGGACAAGATTTCTGTCCGTGAACAGCCCTATTTGACATAAGTTGGGTAAAAGGGACAACAAAACACAGAATCATGGTTTCAAAATGAGTAGCCAAGTTGTAGATAGAAAATGTTATCTCTTCTCATTGGTACTATGATTTTGATCCTTTCTCTCTCTATGACTGCCCTGATGAATTGCTCTCTCACGCAAATGCGACTTGTTTCATTAAAGCAGATGTGAATTAATAATTGAAGCAGAGGATCAATTACAGAACCCGTTATGCTATCGTTGCAGAATAACTATTGATCACTTCCCATGCAAAACAACAAGGAAAAGTTGATCTAACATAGATTGATTGCTCAGCATCTCTAGGAACATTCTTCCTCTCTTTGAGGCTGCCCAACCTGACTCAATCCTAACTAGCAGAGTGGAACTACACATAACCAAAAAGTGGAATCTCATCGATGGGATAAAACTTGAGCAACCATAAAATGAATCTCATTGATGTTGTAAAACTTGGAAAACCAAAAAAATTGAATGAGAGGAGGGAGATGACAATGTTTTAACCTAAAATAAAAGGAGGGAGACTGTGAAGTATAAAAAGGTTTATTTAATGAATCAGAAGAAGAAAATGATGCACCAGAGGGAGTCAATTTTGTATTGGGAGATGTGTAACATGAACTGTACAGTGCCCTGACAAATTAATAAATAATTACTTAAACCTTGCTAATTTACTTCATTTAAGTCACATCTAAGAAAAAATAAAGATGGAGTACAAACCATTTTTTTTTTTTAAGGTTTATATTTTTTAATGGGATAAGGTATATTTTAACCTGAAAGTAAAAACTAGAAACTGTGAATATTGGAAACTTTTTATTTGGAGCAATGTTGTCTTAGAAGTATTAAAAACGTAGCCATGTTACCACACCTGTTAGAAAAGTTACTTTTGACCATTGTTTTGACTGACATGTCATACCCAGTCCCGCCACCTCATCAATCCACGTCACCATCGACCTCCCCCCGCCAACTGTCCAAACTGGTGAATATAACAACACCATCGCTTGCGAATGTGACTGGAATCAAATAAAAATAATAAAATTGAATCACTGAACCAACACCCAAAATCATCTTTTGAGGGGGGAAAAAACCACAAAACAATGCAACCAAGCTAACAATCCAAAAGAACTTGAGAGAAAGAATAATAAACCCAAGTGCAAATCAATAGAAAATCCAACAACTTGAAGACTAAATCAACAGAAAAGTGCAAAAAAAATCAAAAGAAGAAACCAACATTTGATCCATGCTTCAGTTTCGTCACTGAGGCAAATACATCGGCGAGAAGTAAATTGGAGACGAAAGGAAATGAAAAGAACGCTAGAGGTGTTCTCATGAAGGAGCTGGCGGAGCCCACAAATGTTGACTGAATCATACAAATTTATGTGGCTGTGTGAATCGCAATCAACACAAAAACACCCATTTAGAAGCACAAGCAGTAAATTGGAGGCGAAACGATGCGGCTACCTGCAAAACAAGGGAAAAGCAAAAAAGAGAAAGAAGAAGGAGCATACAGAGGCGGCGAAACCAACAAGCAGAGGCAAAAGATGGTGGCCTTCGTCGTACCTATATGAGGGGATATGGCTGATTTGGAGAAAGAGCTGGTGGGCTTGGATTAGAAATAATCAGGGACAAGGTGAGACAGGAAAATCACAAGAGGTCGGGAAGAGGTCGACGCTCTTGGGATGGAGGTGAGGTTGGTGGTGAAGAGGGAAGGGTGAGTAGGATGGCGGTGAAGGTGATGGAAGGGTCATCGGAGAATGAGAAGGCTTTGGAGTGGAAAAGGAAATGCAAAGGAGGCTATTAGCTATGCCTGGAGATGAAGGAGAAGTAACTGATCAGGCTAAGAGTCATTGGTGTGAACAGTAAGAAAGAGAAAGGAAGTGACGTGGCTGATGAGGTGGCATGCCAGGTCAGTCTAACTAACAGCCAAAATTAGCTATTCTAACCAACGGGACAATACTGCTGCATTTTTAAGGTAATATTACTCAGGAAAAAAAACTTTCTAATATCTACAGCATTTTAGTAAAAACTTTCGAAGCAAAAATTGACGGTGTCTCATGTTTTAATTTATCAGCTGCTTTAATGAATTTTAAAATATTCTCATAATGCTTGTGATAAATAAATATTCAATATTAGCGTAATTATTCTTTTGCATTTTATTTATTTAAATTAGTGAGGGTTAAGTGATTTTTATTTAATATATATTTATTAGGAGCATTATCACAATAGATACACTAATCATTTTTAAAATTTATTAAAAATTAATCATAAATTAAAATATATAATCCTTCAAAAAACATACTCGTAGTTTTTACTCAATCTTTTATCTTTCTTTAATGCAGTTAACTTAAATGAAGTGAATTAGTAAGGGTTTAGTGTTTTCTTGTTAATTTGCTAGGACTCTACGACTACACAGGACACATTACACATCTTCCTACACAATATTTACCTTTTCTCTCTCATACATCATGTATTACATGGAAAATTACAATGAGAGTTAAGAAAAGAAAACAATTTCATCGAAATTCTTCATATATTGTTTTCTTCTCCTGATTTAATAAATAAGCATTTTCATATTTCACAGCCTCCTTCCCTTTATTATAAGCCGAAATTTACTGCCAACAAACGGGACTTGCAGCGGATAGAAGCTGAAACTTGTGTTAAACCCATCGTTTTAATTTGTCACAAAAAAATGTCATTGACTTCAACTCCCAACTTCTCAAAATGGTTGCAAGTTTAACTGATGTTTCCTCTGCCCACTATATACATATATGTTTGTGTGTATTTGACCGGATATAAGGACTACGATGTCTTTAAAATATGTAATTTATATGACGATGCCTCTTCTTAGTTTTATCAGTGATTACGAGCAACTTCAAAGGCCTAATTAGACGGTTTATGGCTTGCTGCTCAAGGAAACAATCTTTGAAACTTCTTTGAATTGTTTGATGATTAGATCTATTAAAATAAAGGCTAAATTATACAAAAGTCCCCTAAACTATGGGCCAATTGTATATAACCTCCTTGATATTTAAAAGTTTATATTCAATCCCCCTTATCTTTCTTTCTTCTTTTTTTTCCTAAATTATGGACAACTTGCCGTTAACTCACTGTTATCTTTCTAACGAAATTTGTCATGTTAGATCAACACAAGACACCTCGCATCCTACGTGACATCTTACATGGCATCCCATCTAAGTTAATTTTACAAAACATCACTGAACTTTAAACTAGCTGCACATAACCCCCTAACATTTAAATACTAAACTTCCATTACTTTTTTTTCCTATTTAATGGTCATCACAACCAACTCATTCCTTTCATTTTATTAATTAAAATAGCAATTTTTATGTGGTAAAAATAAAATAAAATGTTATTTAAAAATTTATGTTGACAAAAAATATAAGAATAAAAGCTCAACATCTAATTGAAGAAAAAACAAAAAAATTCTAATAAAAGATAAATATTGGCAAAAGTGATCCTCTAATGCAAAATTATTATTTAAATGTTTGCATTGATAATAATATTTGCATATCATCAATGCTCATTTATTTCACGAAAAATTAATAAAAATAGTTTTATAACACTTTTTTTTTTAATAGAAACATTCATTGGTGCTTAGTAGGTACTTCATTCTTCTTCATGGTAAGGATGAACTAGAGCCTTGAGTATTAGGAGGCTGGCTATCTTGCAATAAATAATAAAAGAACAGTTATTATTCTATTTAATATAAGTGTGAAAATGTAAAGTAAATCAAATTTTATAATTAAAGAAATTACAAATGTCTATTCTATTTGATTTGACGCAGCATTCTTCTTTTTCTTCTTTACACTTTTTTTGTTGGGATTAGGAGGGTCCTTACAACCCCCTGCATTGTGACCCATTTTTCGACAATCACCACACTTTGTGGTAACTCCCTTTTAACTTATTTTTTATGGGTATTGTTGCTCATCTGGAGCTTTCTTTCTTTTGTTTTTCTTTTTTGGTCTACCAGGTGGCCTATTATATTCTAGCAATAGCAAGGGAACCATTGTAGACTATGGCCAATGTTCTTTACTAGGGACTTCACCTATTGCTAAAACATAAGCTCTCATGAATGGATCTTTGCTATAATATGTAGAAACATAATCTTTAAGTACTCCTCTTATTTGATAAATTGCAGCCACAACATGTCCACAAGGAATACCAGTCAAATCCCAAGCCT